CCACCAAAGCTATTCTGAATTATAAATCTGAACTAATTACATTGTTTTTTTAAAATAGGGAGAAGATTTGTGCCCCACTTTCACCACTGTAAGGGATGATTCTGTCTGTGAATCCTAATTTCCTATAAAAGGAAACTTTAGAAGCTAAGTTAAAAGTTCCTTTCTGTTTCCTAGTCCTCTGGGGCCCATTGTCCCTAGAATAGTCCACCATCCAAACATCTCCCTCTATAAGTACCTGCCAACAGTCCTGGCAGATGGATGCCCTGGCATAATGGGCATCTTGTGAGCAGCTATGTGCCCTAGGATAGCCTGTCTAGTCACTGACAGGGTTTGAGATCATCATACCTCAATACCCATAAGAGAAGATTAGAAAATGCAAAATATCTTTTTACATTAAAAGGTAACAGCACACCAAAAATATCATGAAACATTTTTAATCATTTCCAGGTACAGAAGCCATTGTTCCCCTTTCTTTCTGTGAGGGAAAAAATATCTTAGTGGGCACACATAATTAAATTAGGAGGATTTAAACATCTTACAATAACATTGCCATTCAATTGGAGAACACAGTGACAGCTTTAATTTACAACAACCGCAGGGATTATCACTAGGAAAGCCACTGCACACTTCCCTGCGGATGTCACCTACACACAACAAAAATAGTACTTACCAAGTACAGGTTTATAGATGTTGGTTAACTTAGTAAATGATGGAAACAAATGAGGAAGATAATACTTTCGAAACAATGTAAAAAGAAATTTAAAACCAGTATCTTGATTCGCCTTCTCCTTCCACTCCAAGCTTGCAGCCTTTGGATAGCATATGGAAAAGAACATATGTGTATTTACAATTCAAGTTAACATATTCTAGCATGAAATGCTGCTATGGTTAAAATTCCTATTGTAAATTTTTAAAATTACAAATAGCTGGGCATGGTGGCACGTGCCTTTAATTTCAGCAAGTGGGAAGCAGAGGCAGGCAAATCTCTGTGAGATCAGGGTTAGCCTGGTCTACATAGCAAGTTCCAGGCCAGCCAGGGCTACAGGGAAATCCTCTCTCAAAAAAGACAAATAATACTGTTAATAATATAACAAAATCATACCTCACAACAGCGCAAAAGATAGGAAACACCTGGTACTATAAACCTGGCCTTGGGTCTGGAGAGATGGCTTAGTGGTTAAGACTGGCTGCTTTTGCAAGGACCCAGGTTTGATTCCCAGCACCCACATGGCAGCTAACAACTGTAACTCCAGTTCCAGGAGATCTGACACCCTCTTCTGACCTCTGTGGGTATTGCACGACACGGGTGAACTTACACACATGCAGGCAATACACTCATACACATAAAATAAAAATAGCAAATAAATAAAAAAATAAATAAATAATAAATACATAAATAAGAACCCATTTTTGCAGAGCTTGTAGGCCTTAGGGGAGAACTTACTACTATTTTCTCGCTAAAGGGACATACTACCAAACTGCCTTCTAAGTACTTACTCTTACACCCATAGATCAGTGGATCTCTCATAACTCATCAGAGAAGCTTCATGCAGTTGGTGGCTATTAATACAGACTCACAGCTGCCAAAAGTGCAGAGAACAAGTGACTGTGGAGTGCTCAGCTCCAAAGGGACCATCTATATCATCCCCTCCCCCACAGCTCAGAGAACATTGCAGGAGAGAGGGTGGAAAGATTGTAAGAGCCAGAGGTCAGGGAGGACTGCTGCAAAATAGTTGTCTTCTAGACATGACAAAACCAATGCACTCATGAACTTGCAACAACTGTGGTTTCTTGCATAAGACCTGCACAAGATCAAGCCAGTCAACACTCTAACATGACAGGTGAGGGGCTTATGAGGCTCTGTACCTAATAAAGAGCTTTTGGTAGATGATAGCTGCTGAGTGAAGGAGAGTCAGATTTCTTCAGCAGGGTGGCCGTTGTGGGTTGCCCATGCTCCAGAGGGTGGTCTTATACCCATGCACATCTGGGCAGCACTAACTGTACTCAGTGGGTTATTAAAGAAAAAAGAAGACATGAAGTTGGAAGGAGAACTTGGGTGGGAGGTCCAAGAGGAGTTGGAAGGGGAAGAGGGGAGTGAAGATGATCTAAATATATTGTGTTCACATATGAAATTATCAAAGAATATATAATTTAAAAAAAAGAAGTAAAAATAGCTTGAACACATTCATATAAAAAGGTACATACACCTAGTCTTGCTGAAGGGGGCCAATAATAACACATGCCCTGTGTTTAATGAAATACCACATAAAATCACTTCAGCAAAAAAGAAAAAACATGGATACACAGATAGCAAGGAGGCACAATTTTCACCTTCCTATTGCGAATAAGTCCATCACTGAAATAGCTGTGACTTTTCTCTCACCTGAATAACCATATACTTCAACAGCATTTGAAGAAAAAAGCAGGTTTGGTCCTCAGCGATCTTCTCCCCTGATATGGCTGGTAGAAGTGGAGTGATTTCTTCTGGATAGATTTTTGCTGCAGGGTGGAGGAAAATAGTAAGAGCTTACTCAGCTTTAAATATATATATATATATATATCTCAGACAGGGGTCTCATTATGTAGCTCTGGCTGGCATGAAATGCACAGAGATCCACCTGCCTCTGCCTCCCAAGTAAAAGTGTGCATCACCATGCCCAGTCTCATCAAAGTTAAAACAGAGGTTTAGAAACCAGTCTCGGGGCTGGAGAGATGGCTCAACAGTTAGGACCCAGGTTCAGTTCCCAGAACCCACATGGCAGCTAACAACCATCCTTAACTCCAGTTCCAAGGGATCCAACACCCTCTTCTGACCTCTGTGGGCATTTCACGGCATAGGCACACTTACATACATGCAGGCAATACACTCATACACATAAAATAAAAATAATTTTAAAAAATAAAATAAAAAAACCAGTCTCTATTACTATAGATCTATCCAGTCAATGAAACTCCATGCCAGGATAGACAAAGGCTTAAGAGCATAGTACAGAGGTCTACAGAACCTTCTCTACCTCTGAACTACTCTTTCCCATTCAAATTCTGTTTTGGTCAGCCCCAAATCCAAAGTCATTAATTAGGCAATGAAGTGTTATACACTAAGTTCAAACTCATAGGACACAAATAGTCCAATGAGACCACCACTATCCTATAAATGCTGAATGAGGAAATACAGCTGGAAAAATAACATGACTATTCACTCAGAAAATGACAGTGATGAGAGCAACAGTCAGGGACTGTGGAAGGCAGAGTTAAACCTCATTAGCGGAAACAAAATATTCTCTACTTCTTGCTATTGCCAACATCTGCCCTACCTTCCATTCCTGTTTCTAACACTTCAGAAATTTTCTCATTCTCATTTCATAGAAAACAAGTCCCAGGTTTTCTATTTTGTTTTTTTCTTTTTTGGGACAAAATCTCATATAGCCCAGGCTTGCTAGGTAATCCAGGCTGGCCTAAAACCCTTAGCTTCCTGCCTCCACTGTGAGTGCCGGAATCACAGTCTTATTGCCACCACTCCTGGGACTCCAGATTTTTTAACCTTTTTTTGTGGTATTGTGGACTGAACCTAAGGCTTTGATTCTAATATTTGCAAGAATCTTCTGTGAATCACAAGGAATCATTCCTCTTCAGACTCCAAGAAAATTTCTAGTCACAAACATCCAAGGAATCCCTCCCTCAGTGTAAGTTCAAAAGTTCAAATTTCAGCAGTTGGAAAGATGGCCTCAGTAGTCAACAGCACTTGCTGCTCTTACAAAGGACTTGAGTTTGTTTCCCAGCACCCACATCAAGCCTGTACTCCAGCTCCAGGGTATACAACACCCTCTTCTGGCAAGCACCAGCACATATATAGCATACATACATACAGACATATGCTTACGTCCATTTTTTTTTTTTTAAGTAATTTCAGCAAGTCAGATCTAGTGCACTGCTTACCATCAGCTACACTAGGGCTAGGGTTGATGAGTGTCTCCAGTGTGCAGGGCCCCCTAGATGACAAGACCGCTGGGAAACCAGGCACCAGGCAAGCAAAAATCAGCACCTGTTCTTCTGCGCAGTTTGTCTGAAGTGCTTGAAGCCACAAAAGAAACAGTCTGATTCCTTCACATCTTATCTGAAAACAAAATTAAAAGCAGTGAAAATGAAACACTTAACATGCATTTGTAGAAATGCATTGAAATGCAGGACTAGTCTTCGGAGAGAAAACCTAGAGAGTCAAATGTGAAGGCATGCACCTGTACTCCCCGCACTTGGGAGTCTGAGACTCTCCTTTCAGGCCAGACTGGACTACAAAATAAGACCATGCCTAGCCCCCAAGAAAGAGAAAGGAGAGGGGAGAGGAGGAGAAGGGGAGGGGAGGGGAGGGGCGGAGAGGGAAGGGGAGAATCATTAAAGTACATAAGCTATTCACTTAGTGACAAGCAAGAATACAACCACACAACACAAAGGAGAAGAACTTGGGTGCTGGAACCATCTCTGCTACTTTCTAGCTGTGATGCACAGAGAACCACTTAACCTTTCTATGCCTTAGTCACCCCATTTGTAAAATAGGGAGGATAAAAGTTTTACCATGAAGGACTGTCACCAGGATTAGTGTGTTAACCATATATAAGGCAGACCAAACAGTGTCTGGCTCCTGCTGAGCACTATTAATGTATTTCATTCTGTAAGGCAATAGTAACCATATCATCAGTGCTCAATTATCCATAAAACAATGACAAAGATGCACTCCCTCCACATTTACACGATGATAGACTAATGCAGAATTTCCATCATGTTAACACAATATGGCCCTGTTTACAATGTTCTTTGGAGCTAAACGAAACTCCAAAGATCTGGCTGAGTGAGACTAGGCTGCTCCCTGCCTTATGTCCATACTCAGTTCCCTGCAGCCCCACCACCATCCTCTATATTTAGTTATATCTACTATCTACAACCTACTCTTAGAATTCAAAAGCAAACATCCCCCTTTTCTATATTCATGATTGAAAAGATGTGAATAAAAAAGATGCATAATGAGAACAAAAAATATGTCAACAGATGCAACTGAAAGATGTGTAGCGCTCCATACACAGGCACCTGGAGTAGTTTCCCTTGGCCTTTCAGTTAACTCAAGGTGTTACTGACCACGGAAAGGAAGAGTGTTGCAAACCAAATACAAGAGGAGATACATGACAGATGTACTCACTGGCAACACTGCCCCCCCCCCCTTTAGTGGATTCACAACACATTTCCAGACATGACCCTGGATCTTACCACCACTCTTCATAACCTCCATGTCCACCCCCACCTGCCCCTCCTCTTCTACAGCAAACAAAATGAGTGGCCACACTGAAGACAGCAATGATTCATCGAATCAAACAATATTTAACACAAGGAAATTGTGAAATTCTATCGCAAGTCTCCAATTTTTAATGTTAATCTTACTTAGGAGGTTTATGTATAAACAAGACTAACAATAACACAAGTAATAACCTGATGGTTTTTAACTAGAAGACTACTCCCTTCAAATAACAGGGACAATATGGAATCTACAGTGAGGCTAGGAATAGCTTCCTTCTTTTGTTCAACATGTAAAAGATATTTAACATACTCAAGTTGTACATGGCTGCAGTTATTGAAAGTGGTATCAAAGTTTAAAATGTACTAGCTTATTAAGGGTACACATATAATATAATTAGTCACAAATGAATTATCTTCCATGAACTACTCATCCACGGCTGGCTTCCTTTCTGCTGCTCCTGTTTTTAGGAACATCTTATGACAGCATCAGATGAAATATTCATTTTAAAATAAGATAATTTTAACCTGAATTACAAGATCAATCAAGAGTAAGACTTTGTTGTTCTTTTCCCCCCACAACTTTCCTCAAAATTAGCAAATTAATCCAGGGACAACCAGATTGCTGAGGTAGCAGACTCAGGTGCACTGAATCTGAAGCAGAGAAGAGACACCCCTCCTTTTTCGGATGACAAAGTGGGATCACTCCCTGGTCGGGGGTCCTCAGACTCCAAACTCTAAAGCCCAAGATACTTTCTCTTGAGACTACTTAAAATGTCTCCCACAGTAAGTCATGATATAAAAACAAAAGTCTTGCTAGAAATATGTCATAAAATAAAAACTGAGTCAAGGGGCTGGAGAGATGGCTCAGCGGTTAAGAGCACTGACTGCTCTTGCAGAGGACCTGGGTTTGATTCCCAGCACCCATATGGCAGCTATGAACCGCCCTTAGCTCCAGTTCCAGGGGAATCCGAAGCCCTCTTCTGACCTCTGCGGCACTGCACAACACGGGTGCACTCACATACATGGGGGCAATACACTTGTACATGCAAAATAAAAATAATAAATAAAATATTTTTTTAAAAAACTGAGTCAAGTAGTCTGTAAAGACTATTTTTTTTCAAACTAGCCTAATTTGTTACTCTGTGGCATTAAAACTTAAGAGAACAATGCCATTATATTTTCATGAAAAATGATTACCTTAATAGAATTTCCAGTGTGTAGAAGCTTCTTTAATGTTGAGCCTGAAAATTAAAACAATGAATTAGAAACAGAGTAAATGACACAAATGAATTTTTTAAGGTACGAGGGAATGCTTAGTATTTAATGTTTAGTATTTATTTTTATTTTGTCTAATTTATTTGTTATTTTGTGTGTGAGAGAGAGACTGCATGTACATATATGTACCATGTGCATGCAACCATGGAACCAGAAGGCGGCAATGGATCCACTGTACAGGTGGCTGTGAGCCATCATGTGGGTGCTGGGAACCAAACCCTGGTCCTCTGCAGGAGCAGCAAGCACTCTTAACCACTGAGCCATCTCTCCGGCCCCAAAATATCTTTTTAAAAATCAGTTTTAGAAAGAAAACATATACATACTTTTAAAAAATGTGAGCCTGACCTTCAAAATCAGAAAGAAAGATATTTTTAAAGATAAAAGTACTTTGAGTATGAGTCTCTTTGAAATTCTTTTTTGTTGTTGTTTTGTTTTGGGGCGATTTGGGTTTTTTTAGGTGTCATTTTTGTTTTGAGACAGGGTTTGCCTGTAGCCCCAGCTGACCTAGAACTTACTATGTAGACCAGGCTGGCCCTGAACTCACAGAGATTCGCCTGCCTCTGCCTCCCAAGTGCTGGCCACCATGGCCAGCCTCAAAAATTCTTTGAAAAGAGTCAAAATGACTGATATTCCTACTACAGAGATACTCTCTCATCCATTTCATTGCTGCTCTGTTCACAATAGCTAGGAAATGGAATTAGCCTAGATGTCCTTCTACTAATGAACAGATAATGAAAATGTGATACATACACACAATGGAATATTACTGTGTAAAGAAAAATGAAATTTGCGGGTAAATGGATGCAACTTGTAAGGAAAAAAAAAAAAATTGAATGAGCTCACTCAGGCCGCAGAAAGACACTTTGAATATTCTTTCTCATATGTGGATTCTAGCTTTGAATCTTTAGTTTTGTAGAGTACCTACAGAATCCAGGAAACTAGAAAGGGCCCATGGGGGGTTGCCTTAAGGGAGGGACAGTAGTAGAACATAGGTAAAATGAAAATTGGGTAGGGGGGGTTTAAGCAAGGATGAGGGTGGGGGAGACAAAAGAGGGCAAGAAAGGATCACCAAATGAAGGGTATATAGAAAAAAACAAACAAACAAACAAACAAAAAGCCATATGGAAACGTGCTACTTCACAAGTCCAGTATTAAAAAAAGGGTTTTTACTTTGTAAAACTGTTATGTAGGAACATGGAATTTGGGATAACCTGAATCTGTGTTCCCAGGCCACGATCACTCATATTTGGCACCAGAATAAACTATCTCTTATCCCCCTTTAAAACAAAACAACAAAAAACAAACAAAAAAACCACTTTTTTTTTAAGAGTTAGAAGGGAGATAACCTGCAGAGCTGGATAATGATGCTCTCAGAAGCCATCTTAAAAATCCCTGTTCCAGCAGCCCTCCCCAAACAATACAACCTCTTATCATTTCTCTTAGTTGCCCATCAGAACAAAGATGATAAGATCCTACTACTGAAGCTACCACACACCTTGGCTGCAAGATATAAAGAACTCAGGCTGGACCTGACTGAGATGGTTCCTCCCTAATGGCTAGCTTTTATAGTGCTAAAAGGTGCTACACAGACTACTGCATGACAAAAGGCATCAACAGTCTTATCCTGCTGTGATCCCTAAGAACTCCAAAGCCAATCTTCCAGAACAGATGTTCAAGAGTGACAGAACTGTTAGGGAGGTAACCAACCGCTCAAGGATTGCATTTGAAGTCCACTCCACAGTAGAGAACCCATGCTCACAACTGTAAATCTGGTCAAAAATCCATGTCTGGGGTAGTCAAAGGCCCTAGTGGGGAACTTACTACTGTTGTTTAGCTAAATTGACATAGTACCAAACTGCCTTCTAAATATTTATGTTCATACCCACAGGCAAATGTGACTCTCAGTCTTAATCTGAGAAGCTTCTCTTTGCAGTGAACAGCAGTGAATACAGAGATACATGGCTGCTCAAGGTGCTGAAAATAAAATGCCCTAAACAGAACATTCATATCACCCTACCTCTAAAGCTCAGAGAAAATCTCAGAAGTAGGAGCAGAAAGAGTATAAGAGCTGGAAGACAGGGAGAAGGGCTGTGAATGCCATCTTCAGGATATGACACAGACATTGCAAACATGATGTCACAGCATCTGCAGTTGTCTGCACTGGGCCAGCACAAGACTGGATCTTTCAACAGTCAATCATGTAACAGAGACTCCCAGGGCCCCAGACCTCCCTGCTGAACTCTTAGGGGATGGACAGTCATTATCTTCAATTGTGTACCCAGAGATGAGCTCATCAGGCTGCAATCAATGGTTCCAAATTATACATAACCCTGGTCAAAATCAGTGTAGGTCACAAAACAAAATGAATGTAGGAGACTTGTAGGGAAGAGGAGGGATGATAGGAGTGTGAGAGAGATGAGGGTGGCAGTGAGAGCAATTAGAATGCATCACATGAATGAAACTGTCAAAGGAGAAATTTCATCAATTTTTAAATGTCTGATAAAGGTAGCCCAAAAGACCACAGTGAGTGGATTATGTGCAAATAATCTAATCATATGTAAGATGAATGACTTTAAAATTTTTTTCAGCAAAAAATGTGAAACAAGCACTCATGAAACACTTTAAAAGACCATTTTTACAACTATTAGGGCTGACATGTTTCTCTCCTGGTACTGAAGAGCATTAATCATGACAACTCACTCAGAACTACAATGGGCAGTTAACTGCAAAAGCTGTGGGTTACACCCCACTGTACTAACCAAAGCCTCTCCTGAGAATGGAAACATTTTAAAACTTTACTTTTAAAATAGAAATCTTAAGAAAAAGAGCTTTTCTCTCAATAGTTATATACCTTAAGAAAAAAAATTATCCCCCCCCCAGCTCTTCACTGATGTATTTGAGATGTTTCCCCATGAAAAACAGCCAGCGTCTCAACCACTAAAGCAAGCCATAACTATGTGGATAGTGTAAACATATACACTAGATAGGTGAATAGTCTTTAGAATTTAGTAGCCAGACCCACTCATAATCTCAAGAACCCTTCTGTAGTTTCTGAACTGTGACCACCATCATATCTAAAACTAGGGTCCTAATCTCTTAATGTCTCACTGACCCTATAGACTGTCACTTTGCTACTTACTCAATATAACAAAAAATAATTTAGTAAAATCTAATTAGTTGAACTGATTCAATGAACTTTCAATTTAAATCAATGAACTTTTACTGTATGTTAAGTATAAATATCATATGAATGTCTTATGACTTTTGAAGAGGCAGCAAGAATACCAGGAGCAAGGCTTGTACAACATTTGAAGAGCACAGAAAATACTCAGTGATCAAGAATAATACTGCTTCAATGTAACAGGTTTTTCGATTTTTTTTTTTTTTTTTTTTTGGTCTTTTTGAGACAGGGTCTCCCTGTAGCCCCAGCTGTCCTAGAACTCACTATGTAGACCAGGCTGGCCTCGAACTCACAGAGATACGCCTGCCTCTGCCTCCCAAGTGCTGGGATTAAAGGCGTGTACCACAACAGTTTTTAAAGACCAAACTGTGGGCTGGAGAGATGGCTTAGAGGGCAAAGGCACTTGCCACCAAGTCTGATAACCTGAGTTTAATCCCAGGGACTCACATGGTGGAGGAGATGGAACAACTCCTGGGAGTTTTCCTCTAGCTTCCACATATGATCTGTAGCAGGTGCCCACCCATGAATACACACATAAACAATAAATAAATATAAATAAATAATTTAAAAAATAAAATGCAATGGGAGAGAAGGAGAGGAGAGCGGGGAGGGAGAGAGAGGGAAAAGGGTTGGTGAAGGAGGGAAAGAGGAAAGGGAAAAGGGAAGAGAAGGAAAGAGAGGGGAAGAGGAAAATGGGAATGAAGGAAGAAAACACAAGATCTCTATGACTTCGTATTAATAAAAACTTCTCTAGATATGACTCTAAGAGTACAATCTATAAAAGTAAAAATTGATAAATTGCATTTCTTTGAAATTAAAAACTTTGGAGAGGTGATGCTTCGTGAATTATCTTGATGGTAGCAATTATTTCCCAAGTATGTACTTATGTCAAAACTTAATCAAAATGTGAATTCAAATGCACAGGAGGCCAAATCCATAGGGGAAAAGTACAAGAAAGGATGGACTGTGAGGAAACTAAGATGGGTTCCCCAACTTGGACTCCTCAGAGGGAGAATCCAGGGGGTAAGAACTTTGAGAAATAAAGCTGGTCAGAAGTTGTGTTCTCATGTAGGGGCCATGTGGGGCCACAATGAACAGCCCCAGGTATAAAGCCAGGGAAAAGGCTGAAAATAAAAAAAATTAAAAAAAAATTTCAGTTTACTCATGCGCTTGGTTTTTATAGTATATTAAGAGAAACAAGTGGAATAAATTAGACTTAAGAGCAACTTATAGATCAAAAATATAATGAGAGTGCACATGTACAAATTTTTTTTACTGAGTCCTATCCCTTTATGCCTAAAGGTTATTTATTTTTAGCACTTTTCTATAAAATACCTATAATATAAAATATATCCTCTCACCCATTAAACCAGGTAGAAAACTTGCCTTCAGATGATCATGAACAGTAAACTCTTTCAAAGCAAACACAATAACTTCAGTCCTGTGTTGATGTCACACGTACATATGGGGACGTGCTAGAGCCTGCTCTTCTATCAAGCATCTCTGTTTTGCTGTTATTGCCATTTTTGTTACACTAGTTCCTGTCAACTCTCAGTATTGTCAAGCGGTCACTTTATCCACCTTATTTACAGGCCTAAAAAGGACTTCAGGAAAAGCTTAAACAATTTTTACATTTGTTATCAGCAATGGAAATTCTCAAATAGTTCAGTCATGGGTGTACGTATCACAGAGCTACAAGTGTTGAACCAGCCACGCCTCTGATCCTGCTCTGCAGGCATCATTTGAAGCAGGACCTCTTTTTGGAATAAGGACCCATTTTGTTTCATACTGTGAAACAGGTGACACCAATTTATAGCAAAAAAAAAAAAAAAAAAAAAAAGAAGGCCTTAAATTACATTTGTCTACTTAGTGTGTATTGAGGGTGTGTATGTGGGGTGTGTGTGTGTGTGTGTGTGTGTGTGTGTGTGTGTGTGTGTGTAGGCTATAAGACAACTTTTGGGAGTCAGTTCTTTCCTTCTACCACGCAGGTCTCAGAGACTGAACTGAGATCATCAAGCATGGAGCATCTTAACCCACTGAGTCATCTCAGGGGCCCCAAAAGCTAGCCCTAAAGACTGAAGCAAGGAGAAACCGCAGACACTGTTTCCTTTAAAAAGCATTTTAAGAGAAACACATTTCTGATTGCTACAGACAAAACAAGATGGCAATAATAAAAAACAGACTCGGCATGATGGTAGTTGTTTCAAACTATTTTCTTCTTTGGGTAAACGTAGCTGTAGAAGTGAAAAGCTTCTGCAGCTACCAGAATTTGGTAAGGGCTTTTATTTCAGGATTTTCTGGTAGTGAACAGTCAGTTCTGGTGTGAGACAACATGCCATACTGGGTTTGACATAAAGGTTCTAGTCCAGTCTCTGTATAGAGGCAGTCACCCACTGGCAAGGATGCCTGGCACTGCTGAGAGAAGTGCCTGTGTTGCTGGGAGGCTGCACTCAGTCAAGGGACCAGTGGTGCTCAGGGCACAGAGCTCTCCTTCCATATTCGGGATTTTCCTACAGTTGTAGAGTTTCTAGTGTTAACTCAGTCAAGACCTCAAATTACTGTTCAACAGATCCAAGTAAGCTAGAAATGAATATAATGACAAAAAACCCAGAGGCTGTGAAAACCAAACCTTCCCTCTGTGGGGCAGCAGTGAATGGACCTGACCTGGTCAGTGTGGCCACACTCGATAAGAGCTACCTGGAATTTGGTTACTCCACAGATAGCCAAATATTCGTATTTTAAACTCCAGAATGAATTTTCACTAGTCAGGCTGCTATACCGACCCTGGGGGTGTGACACAGACATTAACTACTGTGGACATTCTCAGTCGTTTGCCTCATCATGTATCAATGCATACACTGCTGATCTAAAACTCAAATCAAGGGACTGGAGAGATGGCTCAGCAACTAACCATACTGGCCTTGCAGCAGATCAGAGTTCAGTTCCCAGCACCCATGTTGGGCAACTCACAACTGCCTGTAACTCCAGTTCCAGGGGATCTAACATCCTCTTCTGGCCCCTGCAGTCATGTATACGTACCCACACACAGATAAGCATACATACACATAATTAAAATAAATCTTTAACTTCAAAATAAGCTCTGATTCCAAAGCACACCTAGTCTAAGGATCAATGTAAGAGAGATGTGGACCTTGACACACACCAGTATCTACTTGATTTAACACTGCAAAAATGCGTCCCCCCCCCCCCGCCAAAGAGCCTATTTAACACAAGCATTAAGTACACAAGCATCACTGGCAAATAAGAATGACTTTATACGCAAATGCTCATACTTCCATAATCTGAAATATGGCTCAGGCTGATCACATCATAAAGACCACTTTGCTGCATAAATAACAAAACAGCTACTATAATGGCTAGAAGATAGAACTTTGCAATCCCAGGGAGGACCTCTGAGGCCTCTGGCCAGTCCCACTTAGATATTACTAAATTGGGTAAAGAGTTACTTGTGCCAGCAATTTTAACTAGTTTTTGTGGCTCTAGGCAAAATTAAAGCTATACCACATACTGCCTACTAGATGTTTAAAGTTTCACAACACAAATGCAAATTAATCTTCAGAGTTCTACTAAGTTCAGTCATGCTGAGGTGAGTCTACTAATCTTCAGACATTCTAAAGTGCTATCTGAAGAAAATATGGTTTTCATATAAACGAGATAAACAAAATTAGAGAAGGATTATACCTAGCACAAGGAATACTGTGTGCAGTTGTTCCTCACTGTCATCCTTTCCCAAGACACCACAGAACATCACAAATCCCCAAGGTGCCTCTTTAGATGATACTTTACATTTAAATTTTTTATTCTTACTTTAATTTAAACACAAAAGCTCAAAGCTTCAATTAAGCAGAAGAAATCTAGGGACAACTTGCTAAGATTTAAAGGGAAACTTTCTTTTTGTACTTGAGTGATTTGAAGGTCAAGGCGCTCTTCTGGATGTGTATGCTATACAAGCTGTACTTTTGTTAAATTTAAATTTATAACACAAAACTTGAATTCACTTCTTTAATAGTCAATTACATGTTTTAATAAAACCAATCCTAAATTAAATTTAGGAGTATGGATTTTGGAATAGCTACTGATGATGCCATGTTTTTTCTCCAGTTCTGTGATTTTGTATGTGTTGCTCTCCCAACCAGGAAGTCCTGCTCACCTTTCAAGATGCAGGTAGAAGTTACTTCTCTCAGAGCATCCATTAATCCCTATGAGCAGAACTATTCAACTTTTCTTCTCTATTCCCATTATACTCCCTTCCCAGCAACTGCTATTCTGTAGACTTTTCTCATCTAGTCACCTACTGGGCAACAGGCCCATGCAAAACAAAGATCGTGAGATGCTCTTTGCTTCTGCCCCAGAGGATTGTACCAAATGTCTCTCCCTCAATAAGGTAAGGGTCATGCTTTCCTCCAATATAACCATCTGAAAGGGAAGGAAAATTGCAGCAAGCGGCAGACCCTTGCCTGGCAGAAGGATTGAAGCAGGCACTCTTGAAACAGAAGGCAGAATGTACTGTACAAGGGAGGGCCTGGAATGCTCAACCAGGCTGGGCAAATTAAACCACGATTGTGTGTGGACAGATACTAAGAGCTTGGCAGAAAGGGCAGCAGCATTACTTGCTTTATTTCAAATTCCCTCTGGATGCCACATCTTTAAATATTTAAACAGGGGAATTTTGAGTCAATGATAGAGACTTAAAGAACAATTTGAGGGGGGGGTAAGAAACAAGGTGAAATTATTTAAGAAAATACTCTAGATCAATGCTTCTCAAACTTCATATGCACAAGAATCCCTTTGTGGTCCTTGTTAAAACAGAGACCACCACGTTCAGCAAGTGCCATTGGGGCCTGAGACTACATTTATATCAAGCTCCAGGGGGAGCCAATAGTCCAGTGTGCCAACGATATCCCCCAAATTGCACTTTTAGAAAGAGACGTGCTTTCTCTTTGACATTTTTAAAATTTATTCTTTGGGAATTTCATACATACATACATATACTTGATTTCGAGTATATCCATTCCCCATTCCTACTCCCACTATATTCCCCCTCCCAACTTCACGTCTCTTTTTAAGTCCCTCCCTGCTCCATGCTGGAATGCTAATTGGCTTGGTCTTGTGTGGGTCTTGTATAGGCAACCACAGCTGACCCAAGTTCATGAGGGTAACCGCCCTGTCACGTCCAGAAAACACTGTTTCAAAGCACTCCTCCCAGCCTCTGGCTCTTATAATCTTTCTGCCCCTCTTCCAAAATGTTCCCTGAGCCTTAGGAGGAAAAGGTATGATACAGATGTCCCACCGAAGGCTGAGCACTCCACAGTGACTTATTCTCTGCACTTTGACCAGTTGTTGCGAGAGAAATACATTTTCCTCCAAAACCCATGCTAGTCTTCTCTTGATTTTAATGATTGTACCCTTATTAATATTTCTTCCTATAAGCTATCTTGATGGTGTGAGCACCAGAGCATTGCTGAAAATTCAGCTGGTAGAAATCTGTATCACTAACAACATCTGTCTTCATTGTTCTTACCTATACTCTGGTAATGCCATCGGAAGAAAATTCGTTCAGGTAGAAATTGCAGTATTTTCTACAAAACAAACAACAACAAAAAGACAGAAAGAAAGTAAATACCAAATGAAATTATCTATTTTATGACAGGTCCATACTACTTGCCACACACAAAACTTGAGGAAATAAAAGGAAACAGTATCACATACTGCACTTTACTATATTCCCATGGAAGAGTTTTTTAATTGCTTCAGGCAAGCTTCTTTCCCCAAACGTTCATTTTAAAGAGATTATTGCTCCAAATTTAATTCCACTCAAGACAAAAGAAAAAAGAAATGGAAAATCTAAATCATTGTATCTTTATTAAATAACAGTACTTAAATGTTAAAAGAATTTTTTACCTATTCCCTCCCATTTCCATCATAACTATTTTTTTAAATATTTTATTTATTATTTTATAGGAAAATTCATTTTTAATGCAACTGACACCAAGATGTTTGCACATGCATTTATAATCTCTATATATCTGATTTTTATGTGTATGAGTATATTGCCTGCATGTATGTGAGTGCACACGTGTTGTGCAATGTTGTGGAGGTCAGAAGAGGGCTTTGGATTCCCCTGGAACTGGAGTTAAGGACAGTTTGTAGCCACCATGTGGAATGCTGGGAATAGAACCTAGGTCCTCTGCAAGAGTAGTCAATACTCTTAACCACTGAGCCATCTCTCCAGCCCCTCATCATAACTATTAATGATCTCTAAACAAAGAACAGAGTAGGAAATAAAGATGAACAAAAGAGAATGTGAGGGTCAAGTAATTCGATGGCACAATATAAAATTGTTGACAAGAATCTCATGAAATTTGGGCCAGTAAGATTTTTCAGTGGGTAGTTGCTGCCAAGCTGAACAATCTAAGTTCAATTCCCAGAACCCATATAAAAGGGGAAGGAGAGACCTGGTTCACAGAGCACCCTCTGATCTCCACACATGCTGTGGCGCATGTGTACATATGTATCAATAAATAAATGTAAAAAATTTTTTGAAAAAAAGGAATTAAAGAATTTCGTAAAATTAATGCCTAAAAATAGGTTTTAGAATTATACTTATGAAAGCATCCATTAGTAGGTAAAGAAAAAATTTATGGGGGCTGGAGTGATGGCTAAGTGGTTAAGAACACTTGTTCTTCCAAAGGACCCCAGTTCAATTCCCAGTGCCGACATGGCGGCTAACTGCCTGTAACTCCAGCTCCAGGAAATCCAATACCCTCTTCTGGCTTCTGCAAGACACTGCACACATGTGGTACACTTACATACATGCAGGCAAAACACTTACATATAAAATAAAAATAAGTAAAAAAATTTTTAAATTCTTTTGGTCTTTTTGAGACAGAGTCTCCCTGTAGCCCCAGCTGGCCTTGAACTTGCTACGTAGTGCAGGCTGGCCTTGACTCACAGAGATCCACCTACCTCTGCCTCCCAAGTGCTGGGACTAAAAGTGTGTACCAGCATGGCCGGCTTAAAAATATTTTAAAAATATCAAATTTATTGGGCTACTAAAAGTACCCTCTCCAACCAAAAGTTGGCTGCTATGGGAGGGAGAGCCAGTTTTCTTCAGGGATGTGGCCCCTGGGAGTTACCATGCTCCAGGGGATGGTCCTACAACCCATGCAGCACTCAGTGGACTCAGTGGTTTTAAAAATCAGATCACATGAAGGTGGGAGGGAAAAGTGGTGGCGGAGGGCAAGGGGAAGAGTTGGAGGGGAGGGAATAGGCAGTGAATTTGATCAAAGTACATTATATATATGTATGAAATTCCCAAAAAGAAAAGCCTAATCAGTGAGAGTGACGTTTTCTTTTTCCCTTTCACTCTAGAACACACTCTGGCAAGTTATTCCTGGGTAATAAGAATCCTTTTATTTTTAGTGCAGCTACTTTGAAAAATTATTTATTGTATGTGTGTGTGGAGAGAGAGAGAGAGAGAGAGAGAGAGAGAGAGAGAGAGAGAGAGATACATGTGAAGGTCAGATGACAATCTGAGGGAGTCAATTCTATGTACCCTATAGGTCCTAGGGACTGAACTTAGCAGCGAGTACCTTTACTGGCTGTGCAATTACCTTTAAAAAAAAAAAAATGTAGAAAGCTGAGTGTGGTAGTGCATGCCTTTAATCCCAGCACTTGGGAGACAGAGACAGGCAATCTCTGTGAGTTCAAGGTCAGCCTGGTCTACATAGTGAGTTCCAGGCCAGCTGGGGCTACAGGGAGACCCTGTCTCAAAAAGTCACCCCCCCACAAAAAAATGTAGAAACATTTGGGGCTAGAGAGATGGCTCAGCAATTAGGAGCACTGGCTGCTCTTGCAGAAGACCTGGGTTCAATTCCCAGCATTCACATGGTAGCTCACAACCATCTTTAACTCCAATTCCGGGGATCTGGCACCCTCTTCTGGCCCTCAAGGGCACCAGGCACACACATGGTGGCCCTTTCATATATGCAGACAAAACACTCATATGCACAAAATAAAAATAAATTAAAATCTTTTTAATATAGAAGAAATCCAAATATTTTGTCAAAACACATCTCTAGGAATTGATAACGTATTATTATCGTATGATGATAGTCTCTATTCTAGATTCAACTAGTCTAATATTCTAGCTAACATTTTAAAAGCTGCAGTCAGTTATGTTTAGATGTCCTGAATGAGAATATTTCCAGGCAACTAATGAAATGCATTCTTCACTTAAGCATACTTGAATTTTTGTCTCTTTGTCTTAATTTTCTACTTCATTTGTTCCCACTGGACAATAGAGGAATATGCTGCAACTTCCAGAGGGAAAAGCCAAAACTGGGGGATTTCCCTCCAACATCAGGGCCCTTCCTTCAGACCATGCCACTTTCCACCCACAGTTTTGCACTGGTGGCACCTCCTACTGCCCAAGCCTTCCTCCACATGTTGCCTCCTCACTGGGGCTTCTCCTGGTGATCACCTTCCTGTCCTGGTGCTTTCTGACTCAGCTGCTCTGTCCTGTTTACCATTCTCCTCCCTAACTGAAAGGATCCCACTATTTAATTCACTTTAACAGTATAATGAGGCAGGTACTTGCAGCCCTCTCCAGCAGGCAGCCCTATGGGGCTTCTGCACAGGACTGCCTGTTTTTCCAACTTAGGACTCAGAAAGCATAACTTTTTCTTTTACTTTTCTTTAATTAATATAATGCCCACGGAGATCAGAAGAGGGTGTCAGTTACAGATGGTTGTTAGCAGCCATGTGGGTGCTGGGAACTGAACCGGGATCCTCTGCAAGAGCCACCAGTGCTCTTAACCACTGAGCCATCTCTCCAGTCCCTCATTTTCTTTTCCTAATTCCTTTTTGAGGTAGTAAACAAATGTTAAGCATGCTTTTCTTAGCACTTGGGCTTCTCACTCTTTTTCTGAAGCCCCCCTCCTTGTGCCCCATGGCTGCTTGCTGACCTCTTTTGCAAATGGCAAGGCTTCCTCTCTTCTTCTTCTTCATCTACCTTCTCCTGGCAGCTGCTGAGATTTGCAGTTTGCCTCTCTATTATTTTTCTCTGAGCTCTAAAGAAAACTGTTCTCAAACTTAGAAAAAGGAAAGAATAAAAAGTGTAATAGTGCCAGGAGGGAGTAGTCCTTTAGTCTAACTCCCTGAAGCACCCCCAGCACCTGAAGGATCTCTCCCTAGCCAAGCAGGTGTCCTGAAGACACTCAGGAAATGAGCTTTCAGCTCTTTTTACTTGGGAAATTATTAAATCTGTAGGCAATTTGTGATCTTCACTATGACCCTATGTTCACGTTAATGTGAAATGTGTACTACTTTTATATTAGCCTTCCTTAGTATCTCTGGGTTAATGACATTTAACTCCCAGATATAAATAATAAACAAATAAATGACACATATTTGGAAAATATTTTTATAAGCTAATAGACAAAAGATAAATGTACTGGTATGACTGTTATAAATGTTTCACCTCTATAAACTATACCAAAGATTATCCCTGACTGTACACATTAAAGCAGTGCAAGGCTGATCTCATGCTGAAAGCCACAATATGAACTCTCTCTATTCTTTCTTGAATGGGAAAGCCTCCATTTCAGACTTTCTTAGACTGTTTGGGCCTTTTTTTTTTTTTCCAAAATTATTTTTACTTATTTATATTTAAATTGTTATTGACAAATAATAACTATTTATGGGGTACAAAATTACCCCATAAATGGGGTCTTTTTTTTTTTTTTTTTTTATCTTCTGGAGACAGGGGCTCCCTGTAGCCCTAGTTGGCCTGGACTCCCTATGGAGACCAGGCTGGCCTGAACCTCACAGAGATCCGCCTTGCCTCTACCTCCCTCTGATTAAAGGCATGCACGACTATGCCAGGCCAAAATGATGTTTTGATATGTATACACCTCTTGAACTGATTCTATCAAACTAATTAACACATCCATTCTTCACAATACCTGTTATTTTTTATTTTTCAAAACTATCATTTTAGCAATTTAAAATATAAGATACATGATCAATCATGCAATAGATCGGAAAAATGTATTCTTAATACTTAACTGAAACTCTGTCCCCTTTAAACAAAATTTCCTCTGCCCTCCACCCTCCCCCCAGCACCTCATAACCTGCCACTGGTCTCTAAAATCTACCACTGTATTCTCAATTTTTCCAACTTTGACTTTCTCAGGTTTCCTCACTGAGACCCTGCAGTATGTGTCAATGTATGTTTGCTTATTGCACTTAGTGTAATACCATCCACATTCAGCATATTTTTGTAAACTGTAGAATTCCTTCTTTTTAAAGGGTAATAAATAGCATCCATTGACTGTCATTACCACGTTTGCTTTATCCATTCACTCACTGATGGATACCCAGGTTGTTTCCATATCTGTACTCTAGTGCAGGTATCTCTTTGAATTCAGTTATTTAGAGATATACCCAAAAGTAAATCATACGCTACTTTTTCATTTATGCAAAAATTTCAACACTGTTTCCCACAATAGCTTTACTATTTACATTGCCAACAGTTACCAGGGCTCCCTTTTCTCTACATCCTAGTCAATAATTATTA